CTGAAGCGGTGGGTGAGGAGCGGCCGGGGAGGCCGTGGGTGCCCGGCAGGTCCCACAGCTCGGCTCGGCTGTGCGGGGAGCCCGGTTGGGACTGGTGAGGTGGCGTGGGGCAGAGGGGATGGTGGGCAGTAGGAGCAGCTGGCCGAAGCGCTGGGGCTGGCACAAGGAGCCTGAAGAGGTAGGATAAATAATTTACTGAACAGGCAAGGAAGATAGGACAGGGTGTCGTGGTTTAACTGCAGTAAGCAGCTAAAGACTACAGACCCACTTGCACACTCCCTTCCCAGTGGGATGGGGGAGAGAATCAGGAGGTTAAAAGTGAGAAAAACTGTGGGTTGAAACAAAGACAGTTTAGGCAGTAAAAAGAAAAAAATGAAACACAAAACCCCAAGAAAAGCAAGGAATGCAAGAAACCCGAGTTGTTCGCCATCAGCTGACCAATGCCAATCCCCAAGCAAGGCAGCCTCCGTAAACTTCACCCTCCCAGTTTTTATTTCTGAAGACATTACATGGTACAGGATATCCCTTTGGTCAGTTAGGGTCAGCTGTGCCAGCTGTGTCCCCTCCCAACTTGTGCATCCCAAGCCTGCTCACTGGCAGGGCAGTGTGGGAAGCAGAAAAGGCCTTTCTACTGTATAAGCACTGCTCAGCAATAGCTAAAACATCAGTGTATTATCAACATGGTTTTCATCACAAATCTAGAACAGCACTGTATGATCTGCTGTGAAGAAAAGTAACTATCTGAGCCAAAACCACCGGGCCAAAACCAGTACACTGGGACTGGAATCCACGATGGGGTAAGAACAGAAAAGTCCTTACGTGGGTGCATGACTGTTTGCGGGAAGAATCAAATGGACAGTGAGGTGCTCTTTAAACACACGATTCCACAATGTTGAATAAAACTGGAAAGATGGATTTCGCTCTTACTCTACTATCAGTAAATAACAGAAACCTACAGGAAGGTACATTATCTCTCTAGTGCAGTTTGCAGAGAAGGTGAGAACTTGTTAGCACTATCAGTCCCCTTGCTTAAGCAGCAAATGTTTCAGTGCTCTGATGATTGTTGATGCTCATGCAGTGGTGGGATTCTAGGTAGGGTTTTTTTTTCCCAGTTTGCTTAGGAAGTTACACATTTTTCCCTGTGTTAAAGAATATGATTGCCTTTTGTATGTTAATAAACTAAAAGTTAGAAAATTTCAGAAGCTCCTGTGCTGCCTTAAGTTGGACCCTTAATATTTACATTTCCATACTATTTTCAGAAATTTTATTCCGTGCTGATTTTCCCCCTGAACAGTGTTTCTTTCTGTGTCTGGGCTGCAGATGCTCTTCAAACTAGTCCTGCAATTGTGGACTTCATAAAATGTTTATTTACTAATGGAAAGGGGGAAGCCAAAATTAACAGAATCAAAATGGGCAGCTTCTGTGTTCAAAATGACATAAAAAGTAGCTTGCACGAATGTGTAAGTAAATGTAACCAAGTCTCTTGAACAGTAGTGTGTCAGTGTAATATATCTATTCTCCTTTGCATACACCAATTCTTTTACCTAGCACACAGTCCTGGTATTACAGGCATTCAGGTAAAAAGCAGAATGTTAGTTGCTTTGTTTCACTGCCCCGATATTTTTATATTAGTAAAAACCTAGATTCTTTGTGCACCTTTAAGTTCTTGCTAATAGCCCTGAGAATCTTACGCAAGTCTGGGCCCAAAGCCCAGCACACATTGTGAAGTGGCGACTTACTTGTTGATGAAAGGAAAAAAATATATTTAATGAAAACCTTTATTTTGATGGTATGACAGTAAAAGACTTGCACCTCCAGGTGAATTCTGCACCTGTTTCCTGTGTGTATCTTGTCTGTATGAATAGACTATACCATTATTGCCAATTTCACAGAAGTTATTTATTCAACCTAACTGATAATGACCAGGCTTGTTAGACATCTACATGTGAATCAGTGGCATGTGTAGTCTGAATACAGAAGGGCTCTTTGAAGGTGTGACTCATCTGACCTACTTTGGCTGGCTGTTTTAGTTTGAGATGACTCACACCCTTGGAGATGCCCGTTTCTCTCCATTGGGTATAAAGCAAGTTGAGGATGACTGGCTTGCAGATAGGTGGCTGCATTCCTTCACAACTATTTTACCCTTGTCTTTTTACTTGCTTATTTGGTTATTGTGCCAGTTGGGCAGTTTGCTAACAGCCCACCTACCACTCTCTTTTAACAATCATGAAGAGGTTTTTACTTCGAAGTGTAAATTGAATCATCCATGTTCGTGTACCTAAAGTACCCGCTGATTCTCAGTGATTGTGGATGTAGTACTGTGAAATCTTTCAAAGGCTTTAATGAAAGTCAGTTTAACTCTGACTCCAAATTACTGTAATCAAGATTCAGTACAGGTTTTGATTGGGAAATGTCATGGCAAATGTTTCTGAGAGAGAGAGAAGGCATATTAATACTGCAGTATACTTCTTAATAGCCAAAGAGGTCTTAAAGCCATATATTTATGCATGTCAGCTATGTTGATGGAGTTTTGTGTTAATTCAGCTTGTGAGATTTCAGCTTCTGTAGCTTTCCTGGCAAGGAAAGCTGCAGCATTTTCCTCACACACTGCTGCCTGCAAGTGTCAAAAGTCTGTAACTTTCAATACTGTATATGCTCTTCCCTGTGGTGCCTTTCACACTGTGCAGTATTGTTTCTGCTTTGTTCATAGGATCTAAAGGCATCTATATTTTGTCTTCTACAGGAATCAGTAAAGATCTGCCATGTTATAGAGCTAATGCCCTATAACTAATGATTTGCCTTGAGCTTTTTCTGTAAAGCTTCACTGGTTTCTCTCTCCACTATAGAGGCTTCAAGCAGCCTTTTGCCTGATACATGTACCACATATCCAGATCTGAATAGCAAAATGTGCAGGAAAATGGCTTTCATCTTAAATAGCTGTCACTTTCAAGTAAAATAACAGCTGCACACTGTCTTAAAATGTGTCATGGTTTAACCCCAGCTGGCAACTACACACCACGCAGCTGCTCGGTCACTCCTTACCACCCTGGTGGGATGGGGAGGAGAGTCAGAAAATGTAAAATTTGTGGGTTGACATAAATACAGTTTAATAATCGAAATCAAATATAATAATAATAATAATAATAATAATAATAATAATGAAAAGGAAGATAACAAAAAAAGAGAGAAATCAAACCCAAGAAAGACAAGTGATGCACAATGCGATTTCTCACCACCCACTGACCAATGCCCAGACAATCCCCAAGCAGCGATCAGCCTCTCCCAGCCAACTCTCCTGGGTTTATGTATTGGATCATGATGTCCTATGGTATGGAATATCCCTTTGGCTAGTTTGGGTCAGCTGTCCTAGCCATGCTCCTTTCCAGATTCTTGTATATCTCCTTGCTGGCAGAGCATGGGAAACTGAAGAATCCTTGACTTAGGATACATACTACTTAACAACAACTAAATAATGATAATGTGTGTTATCAACATTATTCTCATTCTAAATCCAAAACATAACACTGTACCAGCTACTAGGAAGAAAATTAACTCTGTCCCAGCCAAAATCAGGACATCATCCACCCCTTATTCTATACCATTTACATCATGCCCAGGTCCCATGCTTCCAGTACATCCCAGTTATCCACCACCACCTTTCCTGTCTTTTGATATATACACATACAGATATCATTCCCTTAGTTCATGAGCCATCCCTATAAAATGTCCCCTGAGTTCATTTAGTTCATGACTTTGGGCTCCATCTGTCATAACAGTCTTTCAGATCAGGAAAGATGGTGTATGGTTTTGCATACTGAAGCCAGTTCTGGTTTCATCACTGCTGTGCTTGTTCTATCATCACTGCACTTTGCTTGTTGCATCAAAGTTGATTCTTCATTAATCTGGGTGATTTTACTGTAATACTCTTGATATGGCATGCAGCCAGCACAGAAGTTATGATATATGGTGTTACGTAGCAATTAGCATCATACCATTAAATTCATTGGCTATTCTCACCCAAATCAAATCCTTTTCAGGCACACATCAGACTTCCCTGTCCTCTCTCATCACCCACAAGGCTCACCCAGATGCTTGCTTGAGCAAAAGCCATCCTGCGAATGCCTTTGCCTTTGCCTGAGGCAGGAATAACCCAGACTGTCTTCCCCAGCATATATTTTATGTGTACTACAGGAACTTTATCCCCTCCTACAGTACGTGGAAGTTTTGATTGGGCAGGGCCAGCCTGATTGGCAGATCTAGTGTTCTCTCACACTGTGGCTTTTGCTAAATGTGTATCCCAATGTCTGAAGGTCCCACTCCCATTGCTCTCAGTGTAGTCTTCAGCAGTCCATTGTATCATTCCATTTTTCTGGAGGCTAGTGCACAACAGGGGATGCAATATACCTACTCAGTGCCATGCTCTTTGGCCCAGGTGTCTGTGAGGTTGTTTCGGAAGTGAGTCCCATTGTCTGACTCAATTCGTTCTGGGGTACCATGTCACCTTGAGTCTTGCTTTTCAAGGCTCAGCATAGTGTTCCAGGCAGTGGTGTGGGGCATCGGATATGTTTTGTTTCCAGCCATCCGGTGGTTGCTTCCACCATTGTAAGCACATGGTGCTTGCCTTGCCTGCCAAGGCATACTTAGCAATTTTTTTTTTTTTTGTCATTTCAATCACAGCCTTCTTATCTGAACCGTGCTTTTTTCTCCTTCACAAGAGCTTTCCTATTATGCTTAGTATGCAAGGATGTAGTTAAGTTCCCCTGATGACTTACATGTGACCTTCCAGAATTTTTGGGATTTGTTTTGTGATGAAATTGTCCATTGACATGGCAGATTCATAGGCCTTGAATGTGTCTTGATTATGTTTAACCCTGTGAGGTTGCAGGTGTGTTGGTTTAGGCCCTGCCGGGACTGGAGACCGCGTTGCCATTGTCCCTCCCCCACCCTCGGACACAAGTAGGGCACAAACCCCGGGTTAAAATAAGAAGAAATTTAACACAACAGTGTAATAATCAATCTGAACAACAACAGTAGCAATGATAACAACAATAAACAGTAATAACTAAACAAGACAAAAGATATACAGAGAAATACCGCAATGGTTACGGACAGCTCGTTTGTGTACTCCCTACCACCAAAGCCACAAAGGAAAAAGCTTCCTGCACTGCCACACTGGACCTGACGTCAGCATGGTATGAATAATCCAGCTGGAGATCCCTTCCCCATCTTTGCTGGGGAAACTTAACCCTATCCTAGCTGAACCAGGACAGCAGGTTAAGTCACATCACAGTCCCTCTAAATACAGTCCAAGTCTCTGGTCGTGCAGCTATACACAGCTGCATTAAATTCACAGTAACAGATACATGGTGTGACCATCACTTCCTATCACAATTAGAAATAACTCCAGAAATGCAAAATACTCCAATACATTAAGAAGCTAAAGTATTGCCAAGTTAGTCAAAGTGATTTATTGCTACATCCCTTCTCTGTCAGGGCAAAAACTGTAATTTACTGCATATACAAGGACTAAAACAGAGAGGTTCCACCCTGGCTACTTTCTGGGTGCTATTGGAGTATTAAATGTTTAATAATAATTAGATTTTTTAAAAAACTCTTTTCAGTTGCCAAATGAAAATTAGACTCTCTGTCAGGGTAGCAATTATAGTCTGACACCTGACAATTTATCATTTCTTTACACATTTTCTTCAGGACAAAATATAATTGGAAGTTGGCTGGCAGTTTTGCTAATGGTGCAGAAAGAATAATAAAATCTAATGTAAGAAATGTTGTATATAGTCTAGGAATGGTAACGTAAGTTAAAAACTGAAAACACTGGATTTAAAGAACTCATTCTTCCTGTGTTATCCTGCCACATCCATCTAAGCACCTAGTTAGGGTTTCTTTGAAAAGGAAAACAATTTCATTTTGATACAGCTCAGCTCTAGTTACACCTTTGACTGTGTCTAATTTTCAGTGTTATTTCCTTCCAAAACCCCCATTTTAGCACTCACTGTCATCATAATTTTCTTTTCCAAGCACTGAGAGGTAGATAGAAATCTACTTTACAGAAACCTTATCTATTTGTATTGGAATGACACCAGCAACATAGTAAGATTTTGTCTTCTTCCTAGCCATCTGCTTCTTTCATTTGGAGTGGGAGCAAACAGGCAGCAGCAATCAGGTTTCCTTTCTTGCATCTAAGCTTTTTGACTCACATGTTTCATGCCTATCTTTTGCTGGGGCTTTCAACACATCCTTTTTGTCTCCAGCAAGTTACCAGTACATTCATTATTTCTTTCCTATGTCCCCCCTCTCTAATTTAACATTGGTAGGGATAAAAAGAGTTGGAAGACCCAGCTGTCCCCTGCCATTCAAGATATCTGTCTTACTGTGCTCCAGTGTGTTTCCTGCACTGAAAACTTACTTTAATTACCTTAAATTACTCTTCTTTACATTTCTTTGCTATTTCAGCTCTTCGGCCCTCCTTATTCCAGGCATACCTCTTCTGTTTCTTAAGATTGGTTGCTTTGCTTCTGCAGGTTGCAGTTGAAATCTGATGTTTCAAACTATGGAAAATAAAGGTCACCAACTGAATGTGATCATCAGGAGTGCAACGATACCATTTCTCAGTAATCAGTTCTACCATCAGAGTTTTGATTTCTTAAAGGCTCATCAACTATTTCTTGAAGAACATTTCTCATTATGAACGTGCTCAGAAAGAGAAGATTCATGTTGACATGGAAGCTCCCCTTTAAAAAAAACCAAACAGAAAACAGGACAGCGCAATGATTTTCTCTCTTGCATGTTTTAATGAACTAGCCTAAGATTTAAAAGACATCTATTGTCATATTGGTACTGTAAAGCATTTTCCAAAGGGCCTTATTTGCAGAGTTGTGCTGTCAGTTCTTTTTACATATCTCAAGTTTGGCACTGAAAAATGGAGGCACCCAAGAACCATTGGGTTTTTTTGAAATCTTGGCCTGTCAGACTTAACTGTAAAGAACAAAACCACAAACTGTGCTTGCACTGTGTTGTCCTGTGTTTTGCTTGCACCTGTGCTGGTGTGGGCTGACTTCCTGACATCTCACAGGCAGGATCAATTTCTCCATAGACATCTCTGAAAAGAACCAGGCTCTTGGCACAAATATGATCAATAATTTAGTTAGCAGTGATTTTCTCTTGCATTGTAGTACACTATAACCTTACGACTTACAAGGATGAGCGTCATTCAGCAAGTTGCCTGGTTGATGCAGCTGGGTTGTGCTCAACAAAGTCCTCTGCTAGCTTCTGCTTCTGGTTATACCTTCCAAGGCAGAAAGAGCTCAGTTTCTGTGGTACTTATCAGCTGTCTGTCTGCCTGACCAGTATACAGAGGTAATCAGTGGGCAAAAATATCTTTTTTCACATGATTAACTTTAAGGTACTGAAGAAAAATGGTCTTTAGTGCCTTTTTTTTTTTTTTTTTTTAATCTCATCTTTAATCACTGGCTTTCTTTTCTGATAATTATAATACATGGTATGCTTTGGTTGGTTTTGTTATGGATACAATTTAGAAGATGACTATTAATCATTGAGCAGTGAGTCAAAATGAAGAATTAATTCAGAATTTCAAATAGCACGTCTCTCAGGCATATTCTTTTTTTTCAGAAAACATATTCCTTGGACATTTTCTTTTGAATTAAAAATTAAGGCCAGTGTCTTCTCTACCTTTGTTTAATTCTGATGATCTGCTACACAGTTATTACATTTTAGGAAATGTTGGTCTTGTTTTTTTATGGAAGTAATTTTATTCACAAAGTAGAAATGCTTCTATTGTTTTTAAGGCACTGTAGTATCCACAAAGAAAAATACTTTAAAAGGACATGGGCAAGATGGTGTAATTACATGGGAAAAACCAATAGATACTTAATTTGAAAAAATATTCAATTTATTATTTTTAATTTTAATAATAGGATTAATGCAATAGCCAATTTATTGACTTCTCTAAATACCATAGGCAAATTCTTGAAAACTCAATATTCGAACTGAGAAACACTGTAACAGAACTGGAGAAAAGACTTAGCAGTGTTGAAGATGAAGGTAAGTGAATTACAACAGTCTTGCTAATTGATTAGGAAAGACAGAAAAGTAACTCTTTTGGATAGGCCCTACAGAGATACAAACTTTTATTTAGACATTTATGATGCTTCAAATGTGGAATTAAGGAATGCTATGTGCTGCCATGTTAGCTTTTTTGTAAATTAATAATGGAACTATGGATAACCTGAATTCATAGAGTTGGCCACAGTAAGCCCAGTGAAAAATTCCCTTTGCTTTATATTTTCAAACTTTTTTGTATGCAAAGGTCTTAATTGTGAGGATTACTAACTGAAGACTTTCTCAGTCTCCAGAAGGAAGTGGGAACAGTTTGAGAAAATGCTTTTACTTGAAATGACATGAAATAATCTGGGAAATAGAATAACTCTGTATTTGTTTTTAAGGTAATGAATGGAAAACCAGGTATGAGACACAAGTAGAATTGAACAAACAGCTGGAAAGGCAAATTAATATTCTTCAAGGCAGGATGGAGCTTATTCGTGGAAATCCAGCAGGTAGAAATGGGTATTCTTAACTGGTTTTCAATAGAATTAGTATTTAAATGTTGAAATTATATCAATGGGTCAAATTTTCTGTTTATTTGTAGATAAATTGTCCATTGTTCGCACCTTTGATCAAATGCCTGTGGTGAGTACTATGGCATTTAGTTGGTTAACAACAAATTGCAGTGTAATTGAAGAACTTGTATAATCTTTGTTTTTTCATGACAAAAAAATAACAGCAGCCTGGTATAGAAACCAAAACAAACAGTCCTGATAACTTTTTTATTGTTTCAGAAATGAAGTTGCTTATAAATTTATAGAGTAAAATCGTTAAGTAAGACCTGAATGTTGGGAAGAATCATGTAGTGAAATTTTTTACTGAGTGAAGGTGATTGTGCAGTAAGGTGTATGAGATGGAGTAGCTGAGTTCTATGATTGAATGGAAAAATGTTAAACCTTGATCACAAAATCATGGGATTATTTAGTGTTTGGCCACTCTCACAGTAAAAAAAAAAAGCTCTTTCTTCTGATCAGATGGAATGTCACATGTTTCAGTTTGTGCCCAGTGCCTCTTCTCCTGTTACTGAGCACCAATGAGTGATGCCTGGCTTCCTCTTCTTCATTCCCTCCCATCATGTATTTATATGCATTGCTGAGATCCCCCTGGGCCTTTTCTTCTGCAGGCTGAACACTTCCAGCTTTCTCAGCCTCTCCTCATCTGTCACATGCTCCAGTCCCTTAATCATCTTCATATCCCTGCGCTGGTCTGGCTCCAGGAAGTCCGTATCTTTCTTGTACTGAGGAGTCCAGAACTGGATCCAGCACTTTGATTATGCCTCACCAGTGCTAAGAAGGGATGGATCAGCTCCCTCAATCTGCTGGCAGTGTTCTTTCTAATGGAGCCCAGGCAGCCATTTTTGCAACAAGAGTGCATTGCTCGCTTGTGGTCATCTTGTCCACCAGGACTCCAAGGTCATTCTCTGCCAAGCTGCTCCCCAGACTGTCGGCCCCCCACTGGTGCCTGGGGTTATTATTTCTCCCCAGGGGCAGGACTTTGCAATTCCCCCTGTTGAACTGAACTTCATGTGATTCTGTTCTGCCTATTTTACCAGTTTATCGAGGCCACCCTGAATGGCAACACAATCTTCTGGTGTATCAGTCACTACTCCCAGTTTTGTATCAACTGTGTTAACATAGATTAATAGTTGTTGTGACATTTTGCATAATATGGTTACAGGGAAATTCCTTTATTGTACAGTAAATTTTTGGAACACCAAAGAAAATATCTGTTTTCATTTTTTTAATTTTATCCCTTAATACACTCATATTTCATGACCTGTATTTCAACAAAGCATAAAACGTTTTTCTGTAATCTTGAGGAGAAAATGGCAAGAAAAAAAACAGCAAATATTTTGGCTATTTATTCTTCTAAAGTAGTAAATGAAGTGAAAACAAATCTAGATTGAGGTCTGCTTTTTCCTTAGTCTGTCATCTGCTGAAATCTTTTATTTTGACATCTCTTCTGCTTCTTACTCACTTTTACAAACAGGGAAGGTAAAAAAATACCTTGTATCATAAGCAGGAATAAGGAATGAGGGAGGGCTTTTAAGGTTTTAATTCTGTTTGCTTATGCTTACAGAAGTGTTTCAATCTGACTTTTTTGTGCTTCAGATTCAGAAGATTAATGGGAGTTTACTGAGCCTAGAGGAGGCTGCAATGCCCTATTAGTGGAAACGATATTTTGTTGTAAACAGGGTATGAATTATTAACTGCTCTTCGGGATCTGATCCATGGTTTTCAGATAGTAAACATTCTTGCCAGTTTTAATACTGTCCTAAAGACCATGGTGTTTTCTACATTGGCAGGGTTTTGGGTTTTTTTTAAACAGCTAATTAAAAAGAGAACAAAATCTTTCCTATCCCACTTTCCTGTTTCACACAGTTGATTTGAATGTACAGTTGGGGTTGTGTTTGAAGAAAAGTCTTGAAGACAGAACACTGATCTAGAAAATTTGCAGTAGAGTCTGCTTCAGACAATATTATTCCTGTGTAGCCCATAAATCACAAACTGACATGCATGTTTCTAGTATCAGAGGTGTTTATTTCTGTCCCATTGCTAGTACTCTCTTAACCAATCCAATTACACCTTGCCAAGCACTTGAAGAGTCATTATCAGTGAGATAATCTCCTTTACCAGCAGCTGGACTGCACCAATCCAGTTTTTCTAATCCCTACTAAATACCACTTTGCCTCCTCACCTATGAGCTATGGTTCTGAGAGGTTTGATAACTGTTCCCATAAAGAAAAGAATGTCAGCACAGCTGAAAGATTCATACTGCCAGGAGTCTATAAGACAGTTTGTAGAGTCCTAGACTTACTCAGTGACACCTAGGGAAGTCTGGAGCCCATGTACCATGCCATAGGTTTTTCTTAAATCCTTTCTTCAGCCTCCCAGCTCAGAGTAAATACATTCTTCTGTTTGCTAGCCAGAGGGGTGAAAATAATTTCTTAGGGATTTAGTGAAATGTTTCATTTTACCTTGTTTTGATTTTTGGGAGATGGAAAGAGGGGAAGAAAGTAGATGTATTTTATGGGCTTGGCTGTTTTTTTTTTTCACTGAAGCTATCAGAAGAGTCAGTGTATATTTACAGATACTCTTGGAGAATGCAGAGCTGTGGGGGGGTGTTTCTTCTAAATTTTAGGAGATAAAACATTGGTTAAAAAAATACACAGATCATTTTGTGGTGTTTATCCAAACATCCATATAGGTTTATCCAAATCCTTTTTATGTTTTTGAGAATTGTTCATGGGAATAGGGGGCAATATTTAGCTTTTCCACAGATGAAAATAAAGAGCAGATGTGGTGAGTGGGTGAGAAAAAGCAAATAGCTTTGCAGCCAGTCATCAATCCACATTTGCTCAAAGTAAAAATGCTGAGAGTGGATATATATAAAATCCTCTGTGTGTGTGTGTGTGTATTAAATCAGAAGTACACTATGATATTCAGCTTTCAACTTGCAGTTCCATGTGAAGTTCTGTGGAAAAATAGCAAAATTATTCTTCCAGCAAGATGATACATTTTCTATAATAATGGCAACAGTAGATAGTAGATTTTGTTTTGAGTAACGTATTTAGAAAATTAAATAGTATTTGCACGTCTTCTTAACCTATGTTCACAAGGAAGTTAGACTTACGCAGTTAAGAGTTACTAGAAGAACCTTTAATAATTCTTAGCTTCCTAAGGAATCTCAGCTGTATTTAACAGAGGACATATCTCAAAGATGCTAAAGAGATTTATTTCACTCTGCTAGTCATTTAAGGTCATAATAGTCAACAGAAGGAGGAAAACATGTCCATAGAGTAATTCATCCCATTTAGAGATAGGTAGCATAAAATATTTTCTCAATATCAAGCACTACAGGGAAAATAATAAAAAGATTAGTCATCAGGGACCCTAGCAGTCATCAAGCTATAAAAACTTGAATGAAAGAGAAGAATACAAATGCAAATTCTGGAGTGATGAACAAGGAAGCACAGAGGATTTTCTGTGTTGATAAATTGCGATAATTGTTGCAGATGGTTTGCACTATTTTTGCTTTAGAATTGTATTGTGAATGATTTCTTGCTATTAAAAACACCCGTAAACCATTTAAATATACAATTATCATTCTGAAGTCCTTTTACTGACTTGAAATAATCCTTTTTTTCATTTCAGAAAAATCATTTAGGTGTTACATGACAGTTAAATGCAGAACCCATACCTTGAACACACAAATTTTACAGCCAAGTTTTACAAAATAATTTTTGTATACTGAGGGGTGATTAAAAATAACCTAAACGGTGACAAATACAGGGGAGTTCCAGCAGTGAAAACTGTTTAGTCAGTAATTTCCTTTATGTCCCAATGAATAATACAAATGTCATATAGTACTTCAGAAATAATTAGAAGGATGCCTTCTCTCTAAGGTATAACATGATGTGAATTTTACTTGCCTCTCCTGAACATGATGCATTTACATTTTTCATTAAATGAGTTTTGGTGAAATACATGCTCTCTGTTAAGCATAATTTCCCATAAAAGGAGAAAGAAAATTATTCCTTTCTCTTTCAACATTTCTGCAAGAAAGAATCCCTAGATAGCAGCTTTAGTATGCAAATACTGAAAAGCATACTGCAAATTCAGTTCAGAAGAGCACACTCCTGATAGCATTGCCTTAGCAACGCTCTAGTTAAGATTAGCCAAGGAACCAAGGTTTTTGTGATAAATCACCATTTTCAGGAATGTCCAGCATCATAGCTGAGAAAATTCTGAATATTAAGGGCCAGATACTTGCTTTGAAAAGCTGCCTTTCTGTGAGCAGTGTCCACAGAACTAAGACACAACCACTACACGTTTTTTTCTGTCAGTTTTAAACTAAGCAGAACGTGTGGCAGTGTCACACTGGAGAAAGCATTGGCAACATGACAGGAGGGGAATCTTGGGTTTATGAAAACATGCAATGAAGACTTTGTATTTCAGTAGGTGTTGAAAACTGCCTATAGGGAACATCAGCACTTTCTAATGGCATAGGAAATGTTGACAATTCTCCTAGCAGGTCACTGTTAGATGAACCTTGTTGCTCTTGCTGGATTAAGTCACCAGTAGGTCTATGGGAAGAAGAAATCTGGTATCGTCTTTTTTGTGAACCTTGGAAGTATTTTGTAGTCTGATCTAACTGCCCTAAACTGTATCTTGCCTTCTCACAGACTTCCCCTTCCTACTCCTTTCATCTGACCTCAGACAAGTATTTTGGATGCCTCCAAGAGGCCTCTTTGATTTGCATTTCTTCCCTTACTTATCATGTTGGTATTAGTTGTTCCTTCCGGTGGCCTTGCACAAACCAGCAGATTATTTTACTCAGATCACTTTGTGGTATTCCCAGAGGCAGAATACACTTTGTATTTCAAAGAAGACAATCAGGGAGAAATCTTACAAGTTTGTGACAAGTTTGTTTGTCAAGTGACATTATTATCTGGCTGTTCTCAAGGATTCCTTAGCAATTGATTGGGACCCTGAGATCTCTTCCAGAGAAAATGTGTAAGAAAGCAATCTCCAGCCTTTTTCAGGCCTACCAGGAGAGACACTAAGTGAAATGTTTCAGTCAGC